AGCACCTCCCTCCTTCATTACTGCTGGGTGGTGAGTTCTCGTGAGATCCACACTGAAAGTCAACAACAAAAATGCAAGTTGAAGTGAATTGTCTGGTTAATCTCTTTGTTATGGTAAACCTGCTTAAATAGAAAGTTGGGCCCTCCTGTCCTTCAGTCTTTGTTAGGTGTTAGTCATATAATTGCATGCGTTCAGATGAATGTGTGTGTAAACATTTCGTAGACTGGGTTTGTTCCGTAGTGAAGTTGCTTAGTGTTTGTGATCCTTTCTGTCTGGGTGGTGTAAACTTTAACTGTGTTATCAGAGTGTAATTGCGGTGGGGAGTGTCACGAGGACGGGCGTGATGCTCCAAAGAATCACTCCTCTGACACTTAGGCTTCATTTCACAGATGTTCAACACCGAGTTTGAATTTTTCAAAACCGAAACTGGATTGGGCTTTTTCTTCTGTTATTTTTTGCTTTCTTCCTCCATATGCCGTGTGCTTTAACATGACAGGACTAATGCCTGTTTAAATTATTCTAATCAAACCCTTGCATTATACCACCCGTCTCTATCAATAAAACTGTGAGGTCATAAATTACTGAGATGGCTGTGTTTAATCTTGGTAGATTGTGGTTAATTTGTCGCATTTAATGTTATAATAATGGACTGGTTTCTGTAGTTATGATGTGTTTTCCATAATAATAGGAATAATGACACACTATGAATATAATTTTTTTACAAAGTAAAATTGTGCTTCTTTAACTGTAAAAAAAAAATCAATTTTACATTTTGTTTTCTTTTAAAGGTTGACTTAGATTTTGTGGCTCTAAACTAATTTTATTTAGTGACAATAAGGACAAAAATGGCTCTTTGAATTGTGAAAATTTCAGACCCTCAGGTTTACATCCATGTCCTGGAACAGGACTGTCAAACTAAAATATAGTGGGTCTCCGGTAGTCATGGGGGATAGGGACCACAGCCACCTGCAGATGGCAAAAATCTGTGAATATTTGACACTTTGTCTAAGAACTTTTATTTATGAAACGTTTAATATAAATGCATGCCACAAAAAAAAAAAATGAAAACCACAAAAATAAAATCTGTTCTGCTTCAATAGTATGACTGAGGACAGAGAAAAAGAGCATTTTTATACAGAACAGGTTTGATAATCTTTTGTTATTGTCGCTATAAAACTCTTTAACGTCACTAAAAATATTAAATCTTAAAAAAAAATAAAAAATTTTAGCACATGATATTCTGTCACACTGCTAGATCCTGCAGTATGACTCATTAACAGGCTCTATTCTATCTTACAAGTGTTAACAGTGAATTGTATTGGTCCACTCCCCCACTCCACACAATGACAGAAATCAGGTGTGTTGAAATTCATTTTTAGTGACTCAGCTTCAGCTATTTAATCCAACCTTTCACAAACTTCAAAGCAAAGAGCCACACCCACACACTAAGCATTGCTAGACATACAGAGCAACTTCCACTTGAAGGGAAATCAAACGAAGGATCTCTTTCATTGTGTTGTGAAAGCACACACACACACACACACGCATACGCACACGCGATACAAAGTGACTGAAAACTGAAGCCATCTGTGCATGAAATTCAGGGTATTATCACTGTAGCTGCATTTACTGTGAAACTGACTCATTGGCACTCATAATAATGGATAACATTTGATCAGTCTTATGTTTTTTGCATTTTGTTGTGGTTTATATTTTTTTTGTGACGCTAGTGTTCAACATGAGTTTTTATTGTTTGTAATGTATCCATTTGTGGCATCAGCTTTGTTTAACGCTCAATATAAGTATACATCCATCTATCATCTACTGTATTTAATATTTTGATCATATGGTCCGGACATGATGTCACCTCTTTCTCTTTATATTCGGTTGGAGTTTGGGTTGTTTTGCACCCAAATTTTTTTGGACAATTTGTACCCATAACTACTTGGACAAACTGATGGTGTGAAAGTAATTTTATGAAATCTCTTCATGTCTGCTGAAGGTAAATGTGGTAATGTGAATATTTGTCACTAGGAGGCCACCTGGGGTTGTTTTGGTTTGATCACATCAGATGTCATATATCTTCTGTTATATCTTATGTGACACAGACTTACAGCTTGTAGAAAAAAAAGCATAATATAAAAATATAAAATATATATATATGTATACACATTTAAACTACATTACAATCAATATTTTAACATTTTTATCATTATCTGTCCAGGAAATTCATCAAACCTCGTCTGAAACTCAGAGGATGTCAGACCTTTTCAGTGACGCCTCCCAAATGTTGGACGAAGCGTCCTGTAAATTAAGTCAGGCATCTTCATGTTGTGGTTTAAATACTTCTAGCTTGAAGTCTGTCTGCAAACATAAAGTTTAATATTTTCAATAAACTGTAGTTAGAAAATGCTTAGCTACAAATAAAATCAAACTAACATACATTTTCGTAAGGATATGGGTAATAAATGGTTTGTTACAACACTGAGTACAAAACTGAAGTAGGAGAGGGCAAAATGGGATCACAAATTGGCTTTGGAGGAACTGAGCCAGACCTATCAGCAGGACATGTAGAATTAAGAATAGATAAATTGAACTTTTCAATAAACAAATTTAAAGTGATTGTTTTACAGCGGAGGGTTCTGGAACCAAGGCAATTTCAATTTCCACCCCATTATTTGTGCTATCAGGAATTGTCTTGTTGGAAACAAACAGCTTGTCCCCTGTGAATAAAGAATTAACCTTGGATATTAACATGTAAGTTTTTCCTGCCCTTCATAAAATTACTGGTATGTGCACAATAAACTACAAATTGTGGTGCAGTCTTTATAAAATTCTCACCCCCTCTTGGCAAACATGTATTGTTGCACCAGAGGCTCGGAGTTGACACTCTCACGATGTTGCTCCAACGACTTCATGCCAGCAGGAGTTTGGAAGGCAGTGATAGTGGTGATAATGAAATATCATGGAAATGAGTCTGGAGCTGAGCAGAAGATAGGTGCATGCATTTATTTTGAGGCTGGAGAGCCGCCAGATTAGATACCAAACGCAGAGATAAGATGGCTGGGTTGCAAATTCAGAAGAAAATTATCTTTGATGTTGAACTGGCATTGTTCTGATGTAACCTAACAATAAACATGTTGAGCTTTGAACATTGATGAGTCCCTCTCCGAGGTATTTTTACTGCTTGCTGTTTGAGTGTATTCATCATAGCTGTGCAAGAGCCTCAGATAGAATACACTTTATAAGAGGTTTGTTTCCCTAGTTGCTTTGGTTCCGCCATAAAACTTTACAGGAAATATCGCTGGGCTGTGTCCAGTCCGAATGAGGGCATGAATTATTCACGGGACACTGGGAGGTCACAAAAGCATGCCCTCATCTCGTCTCAATGCAAACGTAAACAAAGAAAGGCCCAGCAGGGTTTCCACCAAAACTGTATCCACGGTGACACGTCTTTGACCACAAACAGTGAAACCGAGCATAAAGCACGCAGCTCTGCAGAGGGTGTTTCTCATTTGTGCTGCGTACAAAGATTTCCTTACCTCAGTGGTAACTCTGTTGACAAAGGACATATCCGAAGAGAGCCGGGCTGATACAGTGTCACTCTTCGCTTTAGCTTCATTCCGAACGAAACATTACGCATATATGCTGACAGCTGTGCACGTTTTACAAGCAAAATGTGATCCGTTTCATAACAAGTCTGGTGCCATTTCAGCTTTACTATTGTAGCATGTAAAAAAAAAAAAGAAAAAAAGACTTTTATCTCAAAACAACAAGGTTTGGTTTGTTTCAGTACTACTGTATTATCCAACACGTTAAATATGATGTGTCATAAATAATTGCGGCTGTCGAGCCTCTTCCCACCACATGCACCAAAGATATTCAAATATGTACATACACCCTCAACATTTAGAGAATACAAAAGCATTGGTTAATGCTCCATGGAGGCTGAAAATGATAAAGATGGATTCTTTTTCTCCTAACCTAATCCTCTAACAAACAATTTTAATGTCCTCTCATGTACTACCTGCTTAAACCTAAATAAACAATAAAAATCGTGAGCAACAGAAGAAGTAAACTGCTAATCAAAGGAAACAAAAAGTAGACCTTATCCTGCTCTATACACGTATGAGGAGCTTTTTGTTCAATCAGAGGTGAATAATAAAGCCGAAGCGCATTGTTTGTGTTTTTTTGTAAAGACACTTGCAGCTCTGATGAAAAGGCGGTAATTGTTGTTTAGGGAATAGGAACGGAAGGAGTTGGTTGTCTCCGTATTGATTTCTGTTCCTCTTTTTTTTCTTCTTCGCTTGAAGATCACAAGCGACACCAAACAAGCAAAGCACCCATTACACTAGAAGACATATTCACAATTCGCTTTGTTAGACGATAAAACGAATAGTTTAACAGAGAAAACAAGAAGCACGGAAAAAAGTGTTTGTTTCATTATTTTTTAAAAGTATTTCCATGGACTTTGTTATAAATACAGTTTCCTCGTACATTATTCAGAAAATTAACAGTTATAACTTTTTAAACCAAAATGTTACACTTTATTATTACTTAAGAAAATCAAAATCAAAAGACCTCCAACTTGATTTAACTGTTGCTTTCTTATAATTTGTTTGGTCTCTATTGCGTTATTTGTCACCTTCATTTTTTCCTTAACGATATATATATATATATATATATATATATATATATATATATATATATATATATATATTTTTTTTTTTTTTTTTTTTGTCTTTTGTCTTTGCAGCATCAGAAGCAGGCCAGAAGGCAACACAGTGGCCTGTCTCGCAGTCTTTCTTCTCTCCTGTCGTCTGAAGAAAAATGCAGCGTTTTCCTTCTGCTGCCATTTGTCTTGCTCCCAGCCTGCCTGGCCCCGTTTTCTCGCCTTAATCCTCGACGTCTTTCTGATTTGCTTTATGTTACTTCCTTTTTATCACTGATGCTGCTGCCTCCCGTTTCATGTTTCCTCCTTCTTCACACCGATCATTTTCTGTTTTGATTTCATCCCATAATTAAAGAAAATGTAGGTCTCTGTGAACCCTCCCTGATCCTCACTCGTCTTCCAGGTTGTAGTTGTTGATCAGGCCCGACTCCCACAGCTGCACTAGAGGATTCTTTTGTCTTGGAGTTCTGGGACTCTTGCGAACCTGGATGGAAAACAGATTAAGATAAACAAATAAGCTATATGGTCCAGCAAAACGTGAGGCAGTAATGTTAAGTGATAGGAAAAGAAGATGGGGTTTCCCAAAATCTTTCACCGATAGAACCCTAAAACCGTGTTTCTTACAGCTGTATTCAGCTCCCTGTACTATGGTACTCCAAAATGTCAGTTAACTCCCTTTGAAATGTTCCTAATTAGTAAATAGAGTCCCTCTATTTCAATATCTGACCATCATGTAGAGCACAATCCTTCATCTACAGAGAGAATATGGCACAACGGCAGTCGAAGCAAAATATGACGATCCACCTAAACTAAGGGATCAGACCAAAACAGCATTAATCAGAGGCTCATAATAACTCTGGAGGACGAAGCCATGGCACAGATGTGAGAATTCACTGTCAAGACAACAACTAGCCTTGTTTTGTGAAGGGGTGCAAAAAAAAAAAAAAAAAATGCCCTGGTTGAAAAAAATCCAAAAGGAGTTTCACTTAAAGTTTGCTAAAAGCACAGACACAGCATTGGGCAGATGCATCCTTATTGAACCTTAAGGCCAATATGAGTGGAAGAACAATCTCCACAGCGAAACATAGTACTACATCCTCATGGTTTGGAGACGCTTTTCTTCAGCAGTGACAGGAAAATTGGTCAGAGATGAGACAAAGATGAATGGAACTATATACACGACAATCCTGGAAGAAAACTGTGGTGGCTGGAGAAGAAAAAAAGGGAGAGGGGGAAGAGTTATCTTCCAGCAGGACACTAAACATACAGCCAGAGCTACAATAGCAATGTTTACATCAAACCATATCCATTTGTTAAAATGTCCCAGTACATGACAAGTTTTGAGGATTAAATCCAAGTGACAGTGTGTGGCAAGACGAAACATTTGGTATTCACACATTTTCTAAAGAAAAACAGTCAAAAATCCATCACTGGATGTGCAAAAATGGTGCCACGCTTTTCAAACGTTTATCTCTGCAGCATCAGATCTCAATCTTTGGTTGTAATTTGACAAAGCGGGAAAATACTGAAGGGGTTCAACAGTTTTGCAAGGCACTGCAAAGGTAATAACAGAATGAAGGTGCTTCTTCTACAGCCCATCATTCTGTAACAATTCAACACTGAGCAGGAGTTAATGCAACTTTGATCCTAGGCCATGTTCAGTATGACTAAGTCAACAATTAGGGCCAGTCTCTCCTGCAGAATCCCGACTTCATCCTTAAACTCATATCGGACGAAAGCCGCAGGCATTAAGCAAATAGGGAAGGAGAGTCAGACGAAGAAAGGGAGTAAAATGCTCATGCTGATGTCAGATCAAACCATGCAGCTAAAGCCCCACACCTTAATGCCTCGCCAAATTAAACAGCAGTACTCAGGTGTAATCACAGACACATTCGTTTCAGAGAGATTTAGAGCCCAGGAGACAGGTTACAAAAGTCAATCATTACAAAACAACTCCCCTTTTCTCCCTTCTGGAGTCGAATGCACACGCACACACACGTGTACACACACACGTGTACACACGTAATCCCACTTTCCGCACTCCATGTTTCCTTCCCTCTCTGTCTCAGTCGTAGGGCTGCTTGCCTTCTTCCCTTATCTACAAAGATAAGTGCCTTGCTGTGTCTTCAGGACCTTATCAGATATTTGTGTCCCATATTTGGCGCAAAAGAAACGCTGACATCTTCCCAAGAGGTTTTGAAACGTGATAATTATATATTAAAGTCCAGAGCAGTTACGGAAATGTTCATAATCATGCTGCTAGGAGACTGCTTTAGCCCCCAATGCATAGTTTTAATTAACACCTAAACACAGAGTTAGAAAAGCTTGATTTTGTTTCTCTGTGCAGCAATCGAGAGAGACTCTGGGAGACAATTTGCCTACATTTTCATGTTCTTAGCAGAGTGTCCCAGCCATTTATAAAGTGGAAAACCCTTATGAGCAGAGAAGCAAGCAATGGTGGAAGGAAGGAAACTAAAATGCCAACACACCTCTGTGTGGAAAATCTTTTCCTCTTCACTCTGGCCAGGCGGTGGCACAGACACCTGGTCCACTGTCTGCCGTCCTGCAAGACACAGAAACAGTTATTACAGGATAAACAAAAAGCACAGCGTGGCACAATGGTTCCTATCAGGCTGACCCTGCTTACAGTACTGCTTAATGAGGAGGCAGTAAAAATAGAGTGACTATCATGAGAAGAATTTCACTGACCACCAATATAATTGAAACCAATTATTGCAGTAGATACTAAGGAGCATACAAAGGTTGCACAGTTAAGAAATGTTATGTAACGTGCAATGCGTCATGGTCATATAATTGCACCGCGACACACCCTGGTCATTTTCTGCCACCTTTCATTGAAACTGAAATGACTGCTGTCTTCTTTTATTTATTAACCTTTTATTCCAGAAATGCAATCAAACATAAAATGGAGCTGTGGTTTCCAGCCCTCAGTTTCATGTCAGATCAGCAGTCAGAACTCGTTTTAAAATGGCTCTCGTTTCATTTAACTATTACAGAGGACAATGGGAAGAGGGCTTGGGCTAGTGTTTCAGTACCCCAAGAGTTTCTCGGACACTGAAACCTGAAAATGTCTCCAATAAAAGGAACATCTGCTTATACCCACTTCACCCATTTCTCTGTCTGTCACCTTCTTTCAGTTCCACCCTCAACCCCATTTTGCCTCATCTCTCTTCCTTCTCTCCCTCATTCACCTCCTTCTTTGTTTCACGTTGCATCTCTGAGTTAGACTCAGAAAAAGTCAATGTTCAGAAGACTGCCCCCCTACTCTGAGTCTCCTCATCCCAAGCCTTCATCAGCAAGTCTCCCCAGGTGACCCTTCATCACGCCCTGTCCATTCATAACATCCTCTTCGTTCAATAAATCTTTAACTCAATACCTTTGTGGTGTTGTCCTTCCAAATGAAATCCTATTTAGTTTCTATTATTATACACCTTTCTGGTGAGAAAATGTATCATCGTCAACCCTGGATTTGAATATGAGTGCTTTACGCTCAACACCCTGAATATATGGCCCATTTTGTTGACAGTGTAGCCTATTAAAGATGTTACCAGGCTGGGTGAGAACATTTAATTTCATTTCATTTTATTAGCATTATGTAGTGTAGCAACATTTTGACCAAAAAACAAAACAGATTAATTTAACTGTTTAAAGTTTTCTTGTTTTTGTCTTGTTGCTATTGGTTCAACCTTTGTATTGGTATTTATTTCAAAGTCCAGTCATTACTGCACATATAAAGACGAATGGTGGAGTCCAACCCATTCCAACATGTTTGGACTTTGTCCAGGCTTATGATCACCTCTGCCTTTTTTTAGAAGGTCTTCAGAAATTTCTTTCTCTCTGTTTTTGTGCTCGTCTTCATCAGCTTGTATCATCCCACCTAACTTTAGTTTATGCTTCATATTGTCAGGGCATGTAAAGAAACCAATCAACAGCTCAAGTATCAGAAGTTTTAAAGATATTCTTTAAGATATAATATTTTGATTAAACCTGGTGATCCTAAGATCATTAATTTTATTGCTTACTGGCCTTATCAAAGATCAAAGGATGATCTTGGAAGAAGATCCCAGGCTGTTCAGTGTTATTTCTTTTCTTTTTGTCAACCCTAATTTTATGCTGAGCTACAGATAATACTCTGTCTTTACTTATTAATGAATTAAAACTTCAGATAGACTTTTGTTCAACAAACTTCACTGCTTTCATACACAGTCAAACTGTATGACTCCCGATTTTCCCTTTCACAGCTTCTGATGTTAGCTTGACAGGCCAGAATGCTAACCCTTGTTTGCAAATCTTTGATATTTTCCACTGATGTCAAAGGAATAGAGTAATGTGGTTACAAAAGCAGTTGCAGAGTTTTCCCTGACACATGCAGAATCGGTTTTTACAACAATTGATCCACTAACCTTCATCTAGTCCACTGTTACCATTGGGAAGCGGACTGGGAGCTGGGATTTCATTTTTTGAGGGGGATTCGGCACCATTGATTCCTCCATACAAGCTGAGCCGCAAAGTGTGAAGCTCGTTCTCCCTGTCTTTGGCCTCTTGGATATCTTGCCTCACTTTATCTAAATTAGCCGAGGAACGTAGCTTGAAAAAAGGGTTCCCCTTGGACGGTGACATCTCTTTCGCCTCCTGTTCCTTCTTTGCCTTCACCAGCCCATCATAGCTTCTTGTCTTTTCTGTCGAGTTGAAATCCTTTCCAGTTTCAAGAGCTGGACTGGCCTTTGCCTCTGCTTTGGCTTTGTAGTGTTTCTGTGCTGGAATGGTTCGGCTATTTTCTATGATGATGATCTGACAGCCGGTCCCCTCTGAGAGCTTTGGTCCTCTGAGACCAGAGCGGTCTAAACCTTTGGCAGAGGTTTGGTTCTGTGAGGCATTGACCGTCGTGGGTTTTCTCTCCTTGTAGGTGGTATGTTCTGGGGTGGATGTCCCAGATTCATCTTGACTCTCCAAAATTAAATTCAAATCTTCACTGCTACCGGACGACCAGGATGGGGTCTTACTTTTCGGTGAGAATGTCAATGGCGATTCTGGACATACCTGCAGGGTCTCAAAGAGCTGCTTCCTCTCTTTTATTTGGCGGACTGTGCCTTTGTCATAGAAGCCAGGGATTTTTCCAATCTTGACCAGGTCTTGCTCCCTCCGAGTCTCTTCGTGAATCTCATGCTGCATCTTCTTGCCTGCAAATTCCCTGTCCTTGTTCTGGGACCACTTGGGAGTGGAGGACATGCTAAGACTTTTTCTGGAAGGAACTTCTACGTATTCTGGAGAGGTGCGCTGGTTCGGAAGTCCTCTGGATCTCCTCAGGCTTTGCTCACGCTCTATGGCCCGTCTTATCTCCCTCTCGATGGGGGTCTCTGAGGAGACAGGGCCCGGAGAGTCCGTAGACATGCTGGTGCTGCTGTCCAGTGTTCTGTATGAGTGGAAGTCTGCTGACACTCCGCTGTCACTCTGGCTATCATCATACGTGTCACTCCTCATCCTGGTGTCTCTGTTGGCTGTAGGAGATATACCACAGCTGTTTTCTGCCTTGGGCTCTTGTGTTTGGACTGCCTGGAGATACCTGAACAGCCCTCTGCTCTGTGACCTCACAGCCGTCCTGCTCTTTTCAACTCTGCTCTTATTCTGCCCTTTCACTCCACCTGTTTGCTCATTTTCACCCTCTGTCCTCTCCCCCACCCTGCTGCTCCTTTCTCTTGCAGCTGCAACGCAACTATGGCCTTGAGAGGCTTCCCCTCCCTGATTGGCCAGCTCCATGGCAACAGCCGAACCAGGTGGAGATCCCTGGCCAAACACCTGTTGTGCAGCTTCCTGGTTTAATCTCCTGGGACAGAGCTGAGACTGACTTTGTGGCAACACTGCCTCCTCCTGTCTGACTGAATCATCTGCAGGCAGGGCTGAGTCGGTCTCTTCAAGATTGGAACATGAAGGTTGGAAACCCATGCAGCTCATCTCACGTGCAGCAGATCGGTGCTGACAAGTTGTTACATCTCCACCTGTTCCCTCTTCTTCTTCACTTTCATCGGCGAAAGGAGGAGAGTTCAAAGTGTCTCTGTCGTCTGAGCTGCTCATGTCGGAGAGACAGCGTCGGGCAGACTGAGACCCAGAAGTTCCAGTTTTATTGCTTCTAATGTCACCTGCATTCATTAGTGCTGTTGAATTCAACCATGATCTTATGTCTGCATCCCCATGAGCTGGCTCAAGAAGTTTGGGTGTCTCTGCGCATTCTTGAGTGACTTCATTTGGTTCGGCTTCACTGATCCACTCCCCCACCTCACCCTCCAGGCTGGAAGCCCCTTCTTTCTCACCACACTCTGCTGCTGATAAGGCACGGAGCAGCAGTGGAGGCGGGAAATCCTTCTCACAGAAATTATCTGCTTCTTTAGGTTCCTCCTGTGTATCTGAGAACTTTTTAGGCCTTCCTTCCAATTCTGTCACATCTTCTCGTGTCTCTCTCATAGGCCGCTGAATAATATCTGTGGATTTCCGATTTTCAATTTTGATTACATCAACTATTTCTATTATCTTGGTTGTCTGGCGTTCTCGCGGAGCTTCAAGCCTGACTCCAAGCTCCGGGGCTTCTAAGTCCTCCTCAGGCATTGCCTTGGGGGCTTTTCTCTCTCGTAGAGGAACACTGTGGCCCACGCTTGCGCCCTCTTCACCCTGCATCTCAACTAGAGAAGTGAAAAGGCCTTGCTCCTGCCAGGTTGTGGGCTTTGTTTCCATGGCAGCACGACTGCTGATGTAAAATGTTCTGAGCAATCAGGTTGTTGGGCCCCAAGCCAGTCAGTCAACCCTAAAAGCACGGGGGAGCGCAGAGGGGAGAGAGGAACAGCATGGTGATTAGCAGAGTTTAACAACAGAACATTGTCAGGCACTTTTAATGCTATTATTGCAGTGCCTGCACCGCTGAATGAATCATCATCTGTTTTCAGTGTGACATTTATTGTGCAGAAATCCTGACATGCTGAATGCTATCTCTCATTTGCACTTTAATATTTCACATGGCCTAAGCTGATCACAGAGGGGCACACAGTTATAAAAAAGGGTTTTTCATCTCAATGGGATTCTTGTCCTGGTAAAATAAAGGTGAAATAAAAAAATAATAAAATAAAATTTCAGATGACAAACGTAAAAACTTCGGTTTCTATCTGGCATTTGAACAACATACCTCACATTGAAAGTTATCAGGGAGGCTGAACTGATGTTTTGATACAAACAACTTGCTCCTTGTGTACCTAATTCCAATAAATACATTTCAACAAGCAAACAGTTCTAAATAGTTAATATGTAAACGAGGATTAATCAGATGCCATTGCCTCAGAACTAAGTCGTGCTGTGGAAGCTGCTTTGTTGACTGTCAGATTTGTAAATATGCACAGCAACAAATAAATCAAATGTTATGTAGACTCCTCTGTGCCTGAATCGCTATGTCGATAACTATTTCTCAACATGATTTTTTGTTGTCTCATTTGTGTTGTGAATTGATTGTGATGGTTTGAGTGTGTTTATTCTCATGTGTTTGTGTCTGAACTACTGGGGACTACAAATATAAATTAACCTGTTTTTTTTTTTTTTTACTAAGTTGAGCGTGGCATTGTCCCGTTTAAATATACTGCTCAAAAAAATAAAGGGAACATTTCACTTTAATTTTGTGTGTGGCTGCAAATTCAGGCCTCCATTGGTTAATAAATTTGATTTCCATTGATGATTTTGTTGTCAGCACATTCAACTTTGTACAGAACAAAGTATTCAGTGAGAATATTTCAGATCTAGGATGTGTTATTTGAGTGTTCCCTTTATTTTTTTGAGCAGTGTATAACATTAAAATTATGAGCTTATGATCTTTCAACTACAGCTCAGCTGTAGCTCTTTAAATCATCATCTGGTTGACTTTTAAGGGCAACGAACTCAGCAGAGATACACGAACAAACTGTCCACCTTTGTGCTGGAGTTGAGCATATAAAACCATGGTTACGTCTTCTTTTCACAGCAGAAAGAGCACTCCCGCTTTACAAGAGAGTGGCAATAACGCCTCACAAGGCTTTGGCTTCAAGGCAGCGAATAAAGTTTTTTGCTGAGCACACCTTTCTGTAATCATCTTACAGGCTGGGGAATAGCTCAGGATAACACACACACACACACACACACACACACACACGCACACGCGCACACACATACTCCTGTTTCTTTAACATACACACACTTGCCATTTTATTGTCCTTAATCTTATCCATTATGATGAATTGTGCTCACACACATGTAGACTTTCGGTCAGCATCTTAACAAATTACCACAAATGATGCCACTTGCAAAGTCAGTCAGACAAGTCTGGATTCGTGTGCCATGACTGATCGTTAGGGGACATGGAGATCGCAGCTTTTGGGACAAGTGCTTGATGAATTGGGACGATGGACAAATAACATAGAGCCCTTTGAGTGGAGATAATAAGGCCCAACATAGGGGCAGGAGAACAGTGAGGTAACAATAACAACAGCAGAAGCAGATCCACAACAGAGCGGTGCATCACTCGCCAGCTGCAGAGTGTGTTTAAAGTGTGTGCAGTTTCTGGACTATTGGTGATGAAATTGAGCACTCTACTCCCTGCTGTGGTAGACACAGCACTCCACCATCATTTCAAGGTTGGTTTCCGGTCTTGAAACAGAAGTCCGGCTTCCTGGAGTCCTTTTATATGACAGACAGGCATTTTTTGTTGTGTTTGGAAATGAGAAGGACCAGAAGCAGCTTATTATGAGCACAGAGTGCTCCATTCAGAGCCCATTATGAAATGTACACTGGCTGGTTTCAGACTCAGGAGGAATAAAGGGAAACATTGGGTTCTTGTCACTCATGTTCAGTGTAAAGGAGACTATTATCTGAATCCTAGTTTAATATCAATAAGACATGTAATTTTCAGTGATTTCGGTGGTTGACATATGTTGCGATGCTAGATCAACGTCTGCTTCTGAATTACAGTTTTCAACATAAAATGTTATGAAACAGATCTATATCTTAATGTGAAGGCAACAGTTTTCATTTTTGCAGCAGTTTTCTGCTATCAAATAAAACACGTTTTTTTAATGTGATTTGAGCTCAGTCAGATATATAGAGATCATCTATACACATCAATTTTCAGGACTAACCACAGATTATAAATTGAATTTATGTTTGTACCTGGACAGGACAATTGTAACACACACCTGGGCTTTTGATCTAAATCATGGCATTGTACCTCTGGCTGTATGTTTAGGACTGACTGCTGTTTGAAGGTGAACCTCCACCACAGGTTCAAATCTTTTACACCCTCAGCTTTTTTCTTTTCTTCCAGGATTACTCTATTCAGCTTGACCCATTTTCTCTCCAACTTCCAGCCTGACCCTGCTGCTACCATGTTCCATCACGAGGCCTGAATGTTCCTGGCGATGTGCAGTGTTCGTTTTTAGCCACACGTGACATTTTGCAGCATTGTTTTGGTTTGTTCTCTTCACAGATTTTCTCTTGGTTGATTCTGACATTAATGCTCTCGTTGCCCAACCAGTGTTGGGAGGTTTGAAAGTTTAATCTGCCTGCCGTGTTGCTCTTCATGATGCGGTTGAATTGGTAACCATTTCCAACAAACCTCTGAGTCCTGGATTAATACCGAGATAAGACAACAGGCATGTGGATTCTGTTTACTAGTGAGGTGAATGTGAAAGCAGTTTGTTGCATGGGATTCTGTTATTTAGTTTTAAATGAAAGAAGTTTCGCAATCGTGGAAAGCTTGGTTTTAGTATGTCAGATAAAATCCAAATAAAAATAACATGCAAAACATATTCACAAAGGGTATCACTAGTTTTGTAAACACTATAGTACTCGGATCCTGCAGGGCTACAGCAGCAGAACAAACTGCCTGTTATTATAGAGCCATGCTAATGATAATCTCCCTACTTTGGAGTGTGAAAGCTTTGCATGTTGTAATGAGTCATTTCCCTTCTTCTCATTTGCTGCAAGAAACAAAAGGTGTTCTACACCTGGTGAGATGCACGGTTTGGTTTTATTTCCTACAAAGGAAGCTGGGGGGGTTGGAGGTTCTCAAAAACTCTCATTTGTAGAGTTGCAGAATGTCAGCGGATTAGAGCTCTTTTACATAATGAGCCCATGTTGTCCTCATTATCTGCAACGAGAGCCACTCTTTCAAAAGAACAGCAAAATCACGTTCATTATTAATAACACAGCCGCAAGAAGCCCCCTTAGAAATAAACATGGTCACAGTTTTTTGTGGTGAGCCACGTCCAGATGCAGTTTACGATCTAAGGCAGTTTAGCAAAAAGAAAAATCTATTTAGTTTGTCCCTTGCTAGGATCTTGCTATGGAATAGTTTTAATCAATTCTATTTATAATTCATCCTCTTTCTATTCATTTTAGCTACTGTAAAACAAAACACACTGCTCTCATTCGACTTAAGTTCCAGTGCTGCAGTAAATTTTTCTGGCAGTCATAAATTAGATCTGTGTTCGGTAATTTCCTATTAGACCAAAGCATGGAAGAATACTAGATTGCAGCTGCACGTACCTGTCAGCAAACTGCCCTCCAGCTGCCTCTGTCTGACAGAAACAAGCGCCTGAAACTCTTCGCTTGCTTTCAGGTCATCAGCACAAATCGAATCTTTGTGCTCACAGCTCCGTTCTCCGGCGCTTGTATTCCCTACCATTGTGTGTGTGTGTGTGTGTGTGTGTACCTTCCTTGCACCCCCCTGCATGCACATTCACTAATACACAGAAAAGAAAGAGAGTGTGTGTTCACAGGAACACGTGCACTCCAGGCTTACGGGGATTTGAAAATGTAAAGTACTAATCCAATTAGTGCGTAACAATATCAGAGCGTGTAAGTAAATGAAACAATACGCTGGAGAGACGCGAAGATTTCACATCTGGGAGGAAGAGAGGAGGTAGTTAGTGTTTTACTGGTGATCCTTTAAGAAAAAAAAGAAATCTATGAGGTGAGCTACGACAACATCCATCCCTCCATTTTCTATACCTGCCTGTCCATGCAGGGTCGTGGGGGAGAAGGATCCTATCTACAGTGGTCATTGGGAAGGAGGTAGGATACATTGTGCTGTATCCAAGCTTATTCATAGAAAGTTGAGTGGAAGGAAAAAAATGGTATAAGTTAAGGTGCATTAGCCACAGGTATCGCCGAAGAAAGCACATCAACAGCCACTACTCACCAGTGAATCCTTCAAATGGGCTACAAATGTCAGCTTCCTCCAGTGAAGCCACTTCTGAACCAAAAACATGTTTTACCTGGACTGAAGAGGAATAGAACTGGTCTGTTGAAATAAAAACGTAACTCTATGTGCAATGGATGTATGAGATATACAAGTTTCACTTTCTGAAGTGAGCGACAAGCAATATTAAGCTTTACAACATTATATAATCTTTAGATGTACCCATATATTGTGTTTTGCGATTGAATCATGACAAAATGGAGAACAAGTTGAGAGAAGATGAATAATTTAAAGGCATATAAAGCCCCAAATTCTTACTGTAACAAAACATGTGAAAAGATCACATTTTCTCAAGCTGATTTGCTGTTTATTCGCACATTCATATAATGTTTTCTCGACATCGGCTAAAATAAGCCCTAAATGTTTACAGAAATCATTTATGTAAAAGCAGAACTGTCGGTTCAACTCAAAATAACCTCTATGATGATAAGGCATTACGCACGTGCACGTTGCACATTTTTTTAATTAAACCTTCTCAATGGCACATTTCTTTGACACTGAATAACTCCACTGTAAAAATCTGTGTTCTTTGCATTAAAGTAATTTAATGTAACAGAATCAATGTTGGCACAGAGTTTCTACTAAGGACCAGATGTTTTTAAAGAAAAATTTAATTAAGTCAGTCAATGCCATACAGTCATAGATTTAATCTCAGTTTCACACATTCAATCACATCACTGACTTTGCAGCAATCCCTCACTGAACCAACATGTGGCCACAATGGATGGTTGATTGCAGCAAGTTAATAAGTTTTTAGCAAAAAATGTACAAATTACTCATTAGACTGTATCTGAGAGGAGAAGTGTGGTGCAAGAATATTAATTTGCAGTCATTTTACATATATTGCACTTAAGATGTTATTAATTATAAAGGGAAAAACCTAGTTTGAATATATCTCTCACATTAGCAGCTGTGCAATTGATAGTTATAATTTTATTTATTTATTTATGTTGGTCAATAATCTTTCCATACACAAATAAAAAAAAAATCTAACTTACAATACTGAGAAAAACAAACCAAAACAACAAAAGGAAAAAAAAATAGGAGAAAACTAAAACTGAAATAGTTAAACAATATTCAAATTCCTGTCATAACACAAAGCGTGGACTGAAAAGAGTGTAGGTAGAAGCATAAGCTTATTACGCCTCCACTTTTTAAAATTTATACAGCAAATGATCGAAATCAAAATAACAGACTCTTTCCTGTGTAATTTTCTTGGACGTATCTCTGAGGAATTCCAGCTGAGTCTGCAGACAAACTCATAAAAGAATAACATAATTATTGCATTATTTTTAGCAAATGATTTTAATAAATCTATTTAAATTCAAAAGGAGAAAAACACAGTTTTAACTCCACACATGAATGTCCTCTGAAGCCTTTTTGATAGACCATCATCTCACGCTGCTGTTGATCTGCGCTCAGGACAAAGCTTCTCAGCCGAATCCATCACAACAGGCACAGGCAGCTGAAAACATTTCAGCTGAGCTCTGAACTCCTCCATCTCCCTCAGATCCACCTCCCTCCTCCTGCTCAGCAGGTACAGATCTACAGAGTGCCTCTTACTGGACTTTACTACCCAGCGCATCACCAGACAGTCTGGACACGACGTATAGTGGAGACTTCCGTTGAGGTCGAAGCGATTCCCCACATCGAAGGAGAAGGAGCTGCCGTCCAGGGAGATGTTGTAGCGAAGGTGCTGGCATCCATTCCCGAAGCGGTTGATCTGGGTGTAGGAGACAGTGGAAGGGTCGCTGGAGTTGGAGAAGTACATGGTGATGCTGTCCCTTAGTCTCAGGGCATCCATCGATTGCGAATGGTTGAGGCTGCCAGCAACTAAAGCCCATCTGCCCTCTAAATGGCGAGGAGCCAGAGACTCCAGAGGCTGGATCAACTTTTCACAGAGCAGAGGAGTTGAATGGCTCACAGAGACCAAGCACAAGACGGTGAAGGCAAACACAGCAAACATGTCAGAATCTTTTGTTTTTCAGCTCAGTGTTTTTCTTTTTTCTTCCCTGTTTCTCATCAAAAGTGGAGAGCAGTTAGAAAACCTGTGGTTTTATTCCTCAGCCTGCCTGAAAAAATCCACTCTTGCAACAGAGGACAAGATCTTCAGCCCTTATCTGGAGTGGGAATTCAACCATTGTGAAATCAAAGTAAACTTGATTATTTATTGGTTTTAAATCATTCATTTAAATGTTTTCTGGTGAGTATTTTTCTCTTCTGGAATAAACCTGTTTTTGCACAGGAATTTCCCAAACAACTTGTTACAGTACATACACCACTTTGGGTAAAAAAAAAATCATTCTACAATGTTTATTGAGTTTACCAGAGGAAAAAAAAAAACAGCAATTTAATTTAATCTAGGAGAGAAACTGTTCGTATTCTTATGGAAATCTCTTGAAAAAAATAATTTCTGAACCTTGAATAGATGTAATGCTAAAATCCTTACATAGGTTTTGTGTAGTATAACAACAAGTGAATACTAATCCAAGAGGATTCATCATAAATTAATGGCCTGTTACTTTATTAGAGAGTTAACAGGCTATGTAAAGAAGGATTTAAACAATGTGTACTTATGGTCAGACTTAGGAATCTGCTTTGTCTTTAAAATGAAGTCTGCTGTTACAAAAACAGAGCCTGTGACCTTTAATCTAAGTAAGTGCCACATCATTCAGCGTATTCATTGCATTTGTTCCTCAGACTGAAGCTTTCAGAAATGTGATGACTCCCTTGTTAAAACTGATTACCTTCTTGAGATAAACTTAATTTTAAGTGCCTTATAATGAACTTTTGGGTGTTTGGGTTTCCTCCTAAAGGTCGGTAACCAAATTAATCTTGCTTTGGTGATGAATGTGTTATATTTTTTCTTTCTTTTCAACTTTTCAGAGAGTTTATCCATTGTTTAAATTTGTCTTTGCAGGGCTGTGGGGAGTCAGCAGTCACTGGGCTGCACTCTGGACAGGCCACCAATTCATAATATGGCAACACAATCACATTCAGGGGTTACTGACTAATCTAACAGCCACGTATGTAGACTGTAGGAGGAAGCCAGAGTACCTGGAGAGAACCCATACATGTACAGAGAACATGTGCCATGCAGAAAGGCCCCAGGTTGGGATTCAAACGTGGGACTTTCTGTAACAGTGCCACCAGCTATGTCACCGTTCTGGCCTCCTTTTAGAGACACCTCCTTTATGGATTTATGGCAGTATGCAAAACACACACACATATAAATGTATATATACTTTTAAGATTAATAAACTCCTTAATTGGGAAATTTATATGCATAATATTCTAAAATATAGGTTGCCTTTTAGGAAAATGTTGGGAATTGTAAAAAAAAAAAGGAAAAGAAAAAAAAGGGGGTAAAACATAGGTTTAAATAACAAACTTAATGTGGTGCAGGACCGAAACTGAGAGGTAGAGACAATTTTGGAGAGACAAAAATGATACGAACCTTTAATAGATTAGGCAGACAATTTGAGTCAGAATTTGGTTGTGTTCTTGCTAAAGATTGAAAACTTATTTCTTGCTGAGCAAAGCTACGATATAAAGATTTAGACATGAAGAAAATATTCTTTTCCCCATGTGACCGTCCATCACAACTCACTCTAGACCGTCTCAAGCTCGTTGTTTGTCTTCATTTTGTCATTTGTTCTTGACAAAGTTCCTGTGTGTGATCCAGCGGAGCAGGTGGAAGCTTTTTCAGACACTCTGCCTGAGCCTTGAAACTCCTCCAGCTGCTCCGCGTTCACTTCCCTTCTCCTGCTGAACAGCCACAAGCGCTCTGTTTTTCTTTGACTTGCTGTCAAAGCACATCACCAGGCAGTCTGGACAGGATGTATAAATAAAAGTCACAGTGAGGTTCAGCCGATCCCCTGCATTAAAGCAGAGGGTGCTTCCTTCCACAGTGACGCTGTAGGTACGATGCTTGCACAGTTCATCCAGACGATTTCTCTTTGAATGCGACATGTTGAAGGCTGCTCTAATGTTGGAGAAGCGAATGCCGGAGCTGAGGTATAAATGACTCAACATGTGCTGAATTATTAAAAATGGCTTCAAGACAAAGCCCATTTGCCCTGCAGGTGAGGGCATCCATCGATTGCCCTCACCTGCATCCTCTAGATACAAAGGTTCTAGAGGATCTGTGCCGGCTGCTTCACAGACAGCAAACAGAGCAGAGCGTTAGACAGCACAGCAAACATGTCTGTAAAGCTCAGGACTTGTTTGAAATGTGGAAACACTGGACTTCTGTGACATGATAAGTACAAATCTGACGAAACCTTGGCACGCCCCATTATCGCACAATCTGTTCAAGAAGGAGAATGATCACTATAAACTGCTTTGATCTCAGCAATAAACTTTATGTTGGGGAACAAGAAGTCCAGAGAATAGCAAAAG